CTGCCTAAATTCACTACGTTCAAATACCCACCATAGACTCCGGTCAGTCAAAATGACTATTTTGAACTGTAGGCAGTCTGACGCCGATAGGTGGCGGGTTTTCTGAGCAAACAGAAAATTATGAAAGTCTTTTCTCAGTCCGGGATAAACACTCTACAGTAATCACTCAATACCTTAGTTAGGGCCCAAAAAGGGTGGTGTCTTCCCTTGCCTGTGCTGTCCCCGGAGCAAGAAGCCAAAATGCTGCTACGGTGACAGGGTTCGGTGTGCCCGAGAAAGCTAGACCCCAACCCAATTCTGGGGGTAGTGAGCTTTCGAAGTAAAGACCGAAACAGTTCTGCATGAGGGCATAGGCCGCAAAGCGGGACCTGGGAGCTTTCGGGGAGTGCTGATGGTAGAGAAATCTGTCCGTAAAAAATGCCGAGACTGACTTATTGCCGATGCGCAAGGACCCTTGTGGTCGTTCGGGCTGGGTCAGCAAACCAAGACTGACCCTGGGATTTGGTTCTAGACGAGAAACCTGATTCGTGTCTTTAGCACAACTTGATTGTCCATAACGGCAGTACATCATCCGAGAATGCCCCCGACAATGCCCCCAGCTCTGGCAGACGCCTACCTGAGGCGAGAGCCAGTAGGAAGACTATTTTCCACGTCAAAAATTTGAGTGGTGCTGATCGGAGAGGCTCAAAAGGCGGTCTGCTTAGAGCAGACAACACAGCCGACAAGTCCCAGTTGGGCGGTTCCCTTGTATGGGGTCTTGGCGTCTGGAAAGCAGTAAATAATCTCCTAATAGAACAATCGGCTAGTCTTGTTCACGTACGTTCTCAATGGTGGGGGACAAGGTCGACCTGCAGCCAACGATCGCTGCGTAGGACAAACCCACTTCGTCAAACAGGTGGACGAAAGAGCCTGCTACCTGGCCAATAGAGGGATGGTATGGATCAATCTCCCTTCCGCTACACCAATCAGTGTATGCTTGCAGCCTAGAAATGTAGGCCGCGTTCGTGGAATCCCTGTTCGCCAGGATGTTGGCAGCCCGCTCAGATGAAGCTTTCGTATGTGCGTGTCAACTGAGAGCCTCTATGTCTGAAAGTGATACCCGCTGGGCTAGTTGGTAGTGCGCCGTCTGGTTGGGATGGCAGCTCCGGTAAGTCCGGAAGCACTACTGGTGTTTCGACTAGCATTTCTGACAGAAGTGGAAACTAGGCCTTGCTTGGTCAATCGGGTGCGACCAATGATAATATGCAGGTGTGCACCTGTCGAAGTTTTCTCCGGTGCCGGGTGAACTAGCGGGAAGGGAGGAAAGGCGTACACAACTAAGTGGGTCCATGGGGTTAGCAAAGCGACTCTGGCCCAGGCTTCTTGAGTCTGTTGATATGGTGGTCCTGAAACTAATGCGGGGGCCATATCCTTGGGCTTGTTCGTCCAATAGATGCGCTCCCCAACCCTGGGGGGAGGCATCTGTTACCAGAGTCATACCTGCGGTGAGTGGGTCCAAGGGGGCCCCCTGTCCGAGGTCGACCACCAGGGCAAGGCTTCCTTCACTTGGTCAAAGATCGAAACCTGCCTATCTAGTTCCCATAGGAGAGCTCGGCATTATAACAAGCGTTATACCAGGCAGCTGCATAGTGTGGCCTCTGGAACGTCCCTTCGAACCAAGGTCATCATTCTGATGATCCGCATTAGTTCTGGGAGGGACACTGAGGGAACGCTGACTAGGCGTTCTGCTAGGCTGCTTAGCGCTAAGCAACACGCTTGAAATAGCTATACCAAACTTAACTCTGTGTCAGAACTCCATGCCTAGGGACACCAACTGCGCATTGGGTTGAGATGGGACTTGTCGATTTACTAACAAGCCCAACTGGTGAAGTAAATCCTGTGTTAGCCTGACGAGTTTGGCTATTAACCCTTTGTCCGGGTTGTGTAGTAACCAGTCGTCTAGGTACGGATTGAGGTGTACCGACATTTGGTGAAGCAGCAGCACTACCCGTTTCATCACTCTGGTGAACACGTAAGGCACTGTGCATAACCTGAACAAAATTCTGCCCCGTTGGGCGATTCGAAAGAGATGGCAACTCGCTGGGTGCATCGGTATGTGCTGGTAGGCCCCACTTAAAGTGTAATTGAATTGGGCCAATTGACTTTTTTTGTGTGCAAAATTTATTTATAAACAACATTATGAAAAAATATCAAGTGACAAGGGTATATAAATTGGGTAAACTGTCAATGATATTCCCAAATTGGGCCACGCACCCATCTCTTGTCACCTTCAAGTTTTTCCGGCATTACGAGTGTTGCCGAAATGGCGCCAGCAGGAGATAGCTAGCAGACAGGATAGTTTACCATTTTCCATACGCACGCGTTTAGTAAACCAGCATATACAATGAGCTACCACGATCGTTATCATGGCGAAACGCCGTGTTGTTGGCGGGTGCAGCAACACACACGGCGATCGCGCAAGTCTTTATGCGTTGAAAGGATTCAAATTTACGATATCAGTGGACCAAAGTTGTCAAGAACACTAGGAAATATTGGGATGGACCTTCTCCTTATAACGTTATCTGCAGTGCCCATTTTACGCCTGTATCATTTATCAGTAGTCACTTGTCCCAATTCACTTTAAGACTAGTGGGGCTAGCCAATCGAAACGGTGGATGGAGAGAAGAACCCTGAATGGCGTCTCCATGTGGAACCGATCGAGGAGCACATACTGATTCAGTCTGCCTTGGTCCAGAACTGGACGCCCGCCACTTGTCGATTTGGTACTACGAACACATTTGGGTAGAAGCCTCTACTTCCTGCCTGATTGCTTCCGCCTTGCGGGAGTCTCCTGGCAGTGCCCAATAAGGGAGACACTGACGGGGGAGATGGAGATTTCAGCGGTATCCCGTAACAGGATGTCACCACCTGGAAAGGTCCAGGGATCGGTCACCCGCTGTCTCCAAACCGGACTACATCAGCGCAATCTGTGTACAAGAATATGTGGCCATGGGTTAGGCAGTTGCGAGGAGGGGGGGGGGCTCTATTCTCTCATGAGACGAGTTCCCAAAGGCCTGAAGTAGTCACTATGTGACCTGGAGAAGGGCAAGGAGCCACCACCTGGCTCTTTCCCTGGGGCGTGCCACTACTCTTCCCTCCTGTGGAAGGGTACGAGTGCTTGCCTCTTGGCCGACTCTGGCTAGCGGACGACGCCTTAGGGCATTGTGTTTTCTGTGCTTGGGGTGTCCTCCGCTTACCCTTAGCTGGGGCATCTGGCTAGCGGATTCGATCTGAACCCTCTGGTTCATTGCACTCCAAAGCTCCAAGACTGTACCCACCATTCCCCGAACAAAGAGGGTGGAAGATGTCCAGTCTGCATCACTGGGTGGGGACGTACCCCCTGACTCAGCTTGCCGGCGAAAACATGCATGTCTAGGAGGCTGGTGCGTTCTGCCTTCGAGGTCTCAGAGTCCTAGGCACGCACAATAATGTGCTCAAGCAACTCTGCCCTCAGGGCGTGATGGATAGTCTCAGATTGAGCTGGCGAGAATGCCCATGGAACGAGCTGTCCCCCTTTACCCGGTCTGCCCAATGGAAATTCGTGGTACCGGGGGTCTGGGGAAAGAGCCTTGGGATCCGGTTGAGGGTATTTTGGTCTCATCCCACACTTTTGGGACTGATCCCAAAACCACATGGACCGGGTAGCGTTTGGTCCAGCGGAAAGTGTGGCATAAGATTTTACCCCACCCAAGGGCCTTAAGCGTTACCTCCTCCGCGGTTGACCAATGTCCGCCCATCAACACAGTTTGTGCGCCCTTTGTCCCACTGCGCAATCGGACGAACAGGGAGAGACGTGCCGACGGGGTTGCCTTGGATTCCGATGCCCGTGATCTCATAAGCGTTAAAGCAACTGAAAGTGGTCACCTTAGGACCAGGGGTGGGGTATTTACATCGTATAACTAAGATCGATGAAACTCTGTATCACGAGTCGTTATGGATGGAAGACTGAGGGACCGCCCGAGGTACCGGTTGTATCTGACGCGAGCGAACTGTGTCTCTTTTTCACTTTAAATATGTGAGAGAAAGTGTGTTCGACTGTGCGTCTCATGACGGGGTCGGTTCCCTCTGGGGATGCCCATGGGTCGGTAAGAAGGGAGTCAAAACCCACAACCGAGGCCAGACACAAAGGTAAATTCGTTACCGTTGTACCATTACAGCGTGACAAACCCTGGCTGGCTGAAAGTAGGGGGGAGTCAACGTGTTCCCCGCCCTGAAAGCCCTGCCTCAAGATCGTAGGCTTGGCTGCCAGCACCCCGTTGGCATTCAGTGCCCGAGGCTCCAGAGGAGGCCCAGTGCAATTAGCCTGAGCCTCGGCCTCACCCAAATTGCCTTCAAGGCAAAGACCCCAAACCTTGCATGCAGCCACGGCGAAAAAGCATGTCGGATACAGGTTCTATGCTGGTCAATTCTGAATATAACCACTGCACAGTCTACTCAAAAACGAGGAGACCAAAAAATGGCAGCGAGTCATGGAGCTGTCATTACATCTATTCATTCCTAAATACGTAGATCAAGCATAAAATGAAGACGACATGCATGAGGGAAGCGAATTACAGTAGTAAAAGGTGACGTAACACAATCAACAAGTGATTAAGCTACAAGGTCCAGGTTTTATTTCTTTGTTGTGAAAAATGCTACACACAAAGGGGAAAACGACAAGAGTAAAAATGACAAGAAAAAACTTATCCTACCAGCTACAATGTTGCGTGCCGCCCAGTGGCAACAACCGAAGCCAGAAAGCCGGACAAGAAAAAAGCAAGCGATTCAGGAAGAGCTCGCTAAATTTCATCTCCATTCGATGCGGAGAAGAAGCAGAGTGATTGTCCAGCCGTTAATGGCGCTGCCATATGGCCTCTGTCACGTGGTTTGGGACGCAAGAGAAGAGAATCTTGGGCTCATGGGGCTTCCGCTGACCTAGATTCTATCTCTCCGTCATTGGCAGAATTGCTGATTAATGCCTACAGTTCAAAAGTCATTTTGACTGACCGGAGTCTATGGTGGGTAATTGAACATAGTGAATTGAACTTTGTGAGTGATGGTGCTATGCTACTCCTCTAGGAATATAATCACTCTGTCACATTTGTTTTTACTGATCCCAAGGAGGGTCACCAGTAGGAACTTACAAAGGGTGTGTGACGCGCCCAAGGGAGTATATATAAATTATGTTTCATATTGGGCAAGCCTTTTGTACTATGATTTTGAACTAGTGTACATTGTTATGTTCAGTTGACCATAAATTATGATTTATTATGCATTTCCACGATTGGGTTTTGGTTTGCACTGAAGTTGAATATAAAATACTGTTAGCTGCAGGTAATGTGAGTGCTAATAACTGTAAGTTTTAGTGCTGTCGTTTCTTGGGGAAGGCAAGGAATGTGCGAGATGTAAACACAGCATGTACATAAAAACTACATGTAAGAACGACATTTTTGCTTCTATTGGAAAAGAAAGAAGCACATATGGTGACTGGGAATATGGTAATAATGTTCTAAATACAGGCTTTGAAGCCAGTTGGGCACGTATGAACTGGAACTGAGGTTTCTAACAAGTAAATATACAGTGTTGTAAGGGCATTAACAATTGTAGACAGTGTAAGTATGTGTAAGGCAACAAATAATAGTGTTTAAGGCAACCATGTGTGGTTACATTATTGTTGGGGTTCACCCAATGGACAATTTTGGCTGGGCCGGCAATTTTATTCATATTTTGGTTGTTGTGTGCTCAACCTAATTGGGGCTTAAAGTTTTAGAGTCAAAAAATGTAACTTATTTTTCACACTACCTGGAATGCAAGAGATTAAAAAATACAATTCTTTTATATAATTTTAGTTTCACAAATGTAGATACAAATTTACATTACCACAATTGGTACTTTTATTTCAGGTTGACTAAGTGAAAACTTTAAAAACTAATACCAGATAATGGAAAGAGATTGCACACTAACCTGAATTTGAAATGGCATCAACAGTGAACACAGGTACAGTTGTTGTCTGAAAGGACACCACAGACCTGTAAGAAATCCAAATGATGAATTAGTAAACACAATGCTTGTTTAAAGCTTACAGTTGCATCATAATTAACAGTACTGTGGCACTGATTGGTTATATTTAATATACTTACTTGAATCTGTTATAATATAGTTTTCCCACATCAAACTCAAAGCCACTTTCTACAATGGCATTAGCTATGTTGGCAGCATCACCAAATGTTGAAGGTTTCTTACCAATATTGGAAACATGAAATAACATCTTGTCACTGAAGACTCTGTGGATAGGAACAAAATAATTTATACACCGTAAAAGACCTAATATAAACCATAGTTTATATTACAATGCATCAATTTAAAAATTGGGGTCAAAAGCTCAAGTTCGGGGTATGGTTTATATTACGTACATATTGCAATCACTAAATGGGCGTGGTCATTCCCTACCCCCACAATACATGCACAAAACAAACAATACATCGTACAATCTCTTGAACAGGCATCAGAAAGAAGAACAGAAGTTTCAAATAAAAACCAACACGAATGCATTGCTGAGTAATATATGATCACAGTAGTGCAATCGGCCATGCTGCGGTTCACAAGTAAATAACTTACTTGTTTTCGAAGTTTGAAATTGTTGTCAATGATTATTACTCAGTAGTGATTATAATAATGCACGAAAAATAAATTTGTTGAATTGTTATGTAATGCTAGTAAAATTCAACTGAGATTAACTGTAAGAATGATTTTGGTCACATGTAAACGCTTGATGCGACACGACATTCGGCCATCTTTGATTCAATTGCGAAAAAGTTGTCATGGACATGTATCCTAACATGTATAATCTATGTACTAAGTTTGAATGAAAACTGACAAAGCATGACCAAACTACAACATTTTCAAAAAACAAGATGGCTGCCAGTCGGCCATTTTGAATAGAATCGCTAAACCACTGCATGTGCATATGTCCCACATAAAGTACTAGGCACATGCAAAGAATGAACGAAATTAGTCCAAAGGATTCTGAAATACAACTCTGGATGGACACGCGCATGGCCAGACGAACCGATGAACGCATGCATGCACAGACGGTCAGAGGACATGTATCCTAACATGTATAATCTATGTACCAAACTTGAATGCAAATTGACAAAGCATGTGTAAAATGCAACATTTTCAAAAAACAAGATGGCTGCCAGTCGGCCATTTTGAATCGAATCGCTAAACCACTGGATGTGCATATGTCCCACATAAAGTACTAGACACATGTAAAGAATGAACAGAATTGATCCAAATGATTCTAAAATACGACTCCGGATGGACGGACGGACGCACATATTTATTTTTGAAACTTACGAAACACTGAAGTATTCATAAGGAGTATTGACAAAGGTTGCTGTTCGAACAAAAACAGTTTCACTGCGCGTTTGACATCTCATAGCTGAACAATAAATAGGTATGAATATTTTTTAGGCACGTGGTCGAAACAAATGAATAGGATTAGGAACAATGCCATTTTGGACCAGCTGGTTGAAACAATGAAGTTGGTCATGGTCTTGTTGAATTGGGGGTGCGGTTAGTAATACCGGTAAGGTACTTTTCATGTTTTCACTGCACACCAAATTTCGGCTTTGGGGGTGCAGTTACTATTATGTATGCGGTTTACATTAGGACTTTAACGGTACACAAAGAAAAATTGACACCGTGAATGTATTCAAGACAATCTTCTAAAACGTCAGGTAACAGGGTCTCTTTATATTAAACACGGAAATGACAACTGATGGCTTACATTAGGTTTTAAGAAAAAACATGAAATTAACATATCACATGTAACACACTACCGCTAAATTCACCAAAAAGCCAGTATTAGATTGCAATCTGTGTGTGTAATTATAAAGATTAGATCATTTTTTATCATGAACATGCCAAAGTAAAGTGGTACTATGATTTTGTTCAGTTTTCATTGACCAACCTTTGTAAAATCAGTCTAGATTTGTCACCAATGCAGGCAATTTTGACATCAACATCTGCAGGTTTTTCAGCTACATCAGCTTTAATAGCTTTACATATGCTTGAATGGATTCCACCACATAATCCACGGTCACTGGACATAGCAACAAGTAGATGGTTGGGTTTAGTCTCATCTTGTGTTATTTCAGCTCTGTTATAGAAAGCTGAAAGGATAAAAACAGTGATGTTAATATTAGTATTATGCATTTTAGATTGATACCCACAAACAATCTGTATTTGTATCAAAGTATTGCAGTTCAGAACTCTAAGGGCAACAAACTTCATTCCAAATCTTCTAAGATATATCTTAAAATATGTTATGGAAACTGAAGGAAATATTTGACTGTTAAGTTTAATTATTCACTGGGTTTTATATTTATACATATTAGTAAATGTGTTTCTATTACAAATTTAAAATCTGTCAAATATCCATGGAAGCTTAAATTTGCTAAAAGGGCATCAAGGCTATAGCTTCATGGTTGATAACAGTTTAAAACCCTCTTGCTAGCAGAAGCTGTTGATGACAACAATCACATAGCAGCCACTCATAACAAGTTCCTCTTGTTGACATGTTACTGTCAAATATTTTAGCTGGAATAAATTTTCGCTGATAAGACTTATTGGGTGTTTTGTATGGAATTTATTTTCACTGATACCTGACAAGTTGAATGTAAAATATGGGAAAAAGGGTATATTCACTGGATTTTATTTTCACTGAACCTTTCCTTCAGTGAAAATAGCAAAAATTAATTCCAAGTGAAAATAAAGTATTTTACAGTGACAATGTGCTGGACCGTTTCTGCCATGGTTACGAGAATAGTAACCATGTTTCTGCCCACTATTTACCGATCACTTGAAAAAAGACTTTAATCCTTCAACAACAAAATAGAAACGAAACATAGTCCACAGTTGTACATTTGGGGGTACACCTTTTTTAGCTTTGCCTTTATTCAGTCACGTTTTCAATTTGATCGCCATGGATGCCATCAAATACGCTGTACACAAGCTAGAGTGGGAGTGTAAAATTCAGCCAAAGTTCGAGCAGAAACCATGTTAGCGTCCATGCCCCACTTTTGTGCAATTTATATGGGGTCACATCCGGCAAAGAGCCCACCCCCTTCAAAATGCCACTAATTTAAAACTTGGTCCTTGATCATTGTTTAACGAATACTGGTAAATCGTTTTTATATGATACACGTGGACATATCGACCACTGTGAATGTTGTGAATGCATAGACCATGATAACTGTGCGTAAACTACGCTTTGACAAGTATTGTTAATAAAAGTAAAATGCGGTAACAGTTTTCTCTACAAATAAAATTTAAAGAGGACGCTAATTTGCATACAATTAGCATATCTAATTTGCATATAATTAGCATATCAATCAAACATTTCAAAGAAAATTCTTAGCACTTTTATATTTACATTAACCTCAAATACTGTGTACAAGTACTATACTAATGTTCTTGAATTATTTAGATGAATAAATTAAACCACTTGATGTAAAAAAAAATATCAACTTTGACAGATGAATATCAATTTTATTCTCTGTAATGGAACAATGTGAAATTCTAGCCTTTCATTTCTTTTAAATTTCTTTCAAGTATTTTAATTTTCATTAGTTTTATAAATGCACTGACATATTGTAATAGTTGAAAAACCCGAGTAATAAGAAAAATATTTTCACATAAAATTACCATTTAATTCGATGACTGTAAATAAATTAATCGTAATGTTGATTGCATTATGGGTACTGAGGAAAAAGGTCAAATCAAATACCGTGTCATCCATGTTGTTTCAGTGTTTTGTTTTGGTGATTCTTTTTACTTTTCGCCAATAAAACGTAAGTAACAATCAATTGGACCAATAAATTGTTGGTTCTTTGTTCTCAAGTATCAGGAATGATGAGGGAACTTGTTTTGACTCTCCCATTGCGTGATTAACGCAATGCTTGTGAAAATCACTTCAAGCATCTAGCCATTGTTTTTTGTTTATTTATTCGGCCAGTTTTTCCCCAGACATCCAATCCATTGTCCTAGTTGTCATCTATGCCACTAATTGTCTTAGTTCTTTGTTTTATGGCCTGTCAATTAGTAAGAGGTCTCTCAACAACGTCGTTGGGACATCTTCCGGGACTCGTGAAACAGCTGTTCACCGAAAACAAAGGAGGGCGCTGAACATAAATAGAGGGGCGCTACAAATTGAAGAGGGGCGCAAATAAATTAAAGAGGGGGCTGCGTCCTTCTTAAACCCATTGTGGAGAACACTGGGTAAATATTTCAAACAATATTCCGTTACTAGTGAAAAAACCATGTCGTTTATTCGCCAAAATCAATTCCAACAGATCATACTACATGGATAACTCACTTCCGCATTGAGTCAATTTCCAAAGAATTGCGTCAGTACAACACAGCATTCTGATTGGTTAATACCAGACTTAACCCATTAGGTCAAAGGACATTGTTGCAGGTCAAATCATGCAAATACATCATGGCAGAAAGTGCTTTTCTTCATTGTAAAAGTCAATGATGATGCAACTAATTTCGTAATTTTATTTTTCCTCAAAGACGTAATATCTCATAGCTTATTTGAATATGTTAATGACCATTCAGCCACCTCATGGCGAACAACACAGAAGAGATTTACCAATTGTAGTATGATTTTTTGGCATCAATTTTGTTAGGAAAAAGGCATAATTAATTGTTTTCGAAAGATAAACTGAGCACTGAAGAAGAATTTAACACTTTTTATGATGATTAACAGCTCATTGTCAAAATTAAGCTTTACCCATTCATGCTAGCCACAATAAACATACTATTGAATAGGCGTCAATGACTATGAATAACCTAAATTAGACTAGGCATCAGAAAAAATTGAAAAGTTTGAATAATTACGCTTAATCTAGAGATTTTATGATATTCCTTAGATAACATCAATCAGTACTCAGCCTGACGTATGATAACAAAATGATTGGTCCCAGGATTCACACCTCTCGTCGTCTCGTCTTCCATGTTACTGAAACTACAGTCTTTTGCTTGACTTTTTAAACAATGTTGCAAGTTTAGGTTTTGAACGCCACTGAAACGACTGTGCTGAAACAACCAGCAAATAATTTTATTTTGGTCAAATCCCCCCCCCCCCCCCAAGAAATTTAGACATGCTGTGTGACAATGTAAACAAAACTGTTAAAACAAAAATGTCACTTTCTCATTACACATTGGCAACTCTGTATCAACATGTTGGAAATTCTACAGACAATTCAATTTGCATGCCGTGTGTTTGCCTGAATTCAGAAGTTTGCGGCAACCATGAGACTTGTCATATTGTTAGCGATTGTTAGCAATACTGATTAATGATGTAAAGTATTTGTTCGTTGTCAATAATTTTTGCAACGTGATCATATTTTTCCCCTGATGTACTGAGTAAATGGTAATGACACAGCAGAATGTCTTTTCTACAGCCACAGTTAACAAGTCCATGACTGCACATCTGGTGGATATTCTATTTGCTTGTACATTGTATTTATGTAATAGATGTGTGAAAAATACCTTTGGTGAGAGAGTGATGTAAAAAATCTGGCGGTGTCATTACTGGATAAACACTAATTGAATACAAAATTTGTAGAGATAGACCAACTAAATGGATAGTGGCTGAATTATTTGAGTGGTTGAATTGCGGCTGAGTTGTGTGGTTGAGTTTTCACGGTACTCTTTTTGAGAACAGAACAAAAGACTTATTTTTGCAATCGTGGGTGCTACCATTTGTTCATCTACAGTTTTCTGCATAGTGTGGCAACATACGCATAGTAGTCATTGGTGGGACGAGATAGGATGCAATTTCGGCATCGTTTGTTTGGCCCCTAGATGCATTAAACGGTTGGGCCATGCACAGTCCCTCTATCACCGGTCTGGAAACGCCTATTGTTTTACGTGTGAATCGGCGGGATTAGTGGGCTAACGCTTGTAACGGCTCTCCGCGAAGCACGGTACTATACTGTTTATAGCTTTGAGATACATCGCGTTCAGTGCTGTGATCTATTTTTTAACGTTTCCAGAACATATTCGATATCGTATACAAATATTTTTTACCATAGTTGATTCGTAACGTTTTTGTTTTTAAGGAGAGCAAGTTTCGTTGTATACAATATGTTGATGCTCGACGTTTTCTTGTGTGAAATTATGTCTTTTTCACCTTTTGTAATAGAGGGACTGTGCCGTGACTTGTAAACTGGCTCGTTTTTTCTGTTCCTCTCATTAACGGTACATTTTTGACAACATGACAACATTTGTGTTTTTGGTAGATTTGAAATACGTTTAGCACAATGGTAATGTTGAATATACGATTTTGATGATTGTTCGTTAAAAAAATGACACTTATTTTTAAGAGGTAAACGGCATCGTTAAAAACAAAATGGCCACTCCCAGTTACGATGTTGTACACATTTTACTTTTTTTTTCTGCTTATTTTGTTTTTCAGGCATATTAATTGCAACAACTATGTACATCGGCAACACAATCAATTGAAATACTGTTTAATGTCACAAGATGTATGATTTTTGGGTCTTGGTTTTGCACATCATTGTATTCACGACGGCGCCATTTTGGATCACATCATTCTCTCAGTCGTATAATTGTAACGCTAGTTTCCGTTCCGATTACAAGGGAATGGGGTGATTCTCCAATTCCATTTTTATTTGGTGATTAAAGAAACTACTTCTGAAACTAATGGGGTGGTTTAATTCTGTTTGGGATGTAATAAAGAGTTTAATTTCATAGACAAATTTTGTTTACGTTCAGACAGCAGTTATGGAGTTTTGACAGGCGTGTGGGCGTGGCAATCATGCCTCGTAAAAGGTTTCTCCGGTATGTTTTCGGCACTGGTTGAACTACATGGTTTATCTTTATGCACTTCATGGATTTCTTCCTCAATGACATCTTTTAAAACAAAATCCCAATCAATGTTGTCATCGTCGAATTCGTCAAAATCGCCATAAGCCTTTCACATGGTAATGTTGTGATTCGTGTGCTGGTATCGCTAAGTATCATGGTAACTTTCAGTGGGTTAATGATATGCACGACTACATCAATGGGAGTTTATTTTCGGGATAACTTGGCGTAAGGTGTCAACGATTTATTTGCCCGTTACAAGGGTTAGTACAATAGAATACTAAGCGTTTCCAGACCGGTGATAGAAGGACTGTGGGCCATATCAGGCCCAATCTTATTACAGCTCAACTATGAGGGTTTATTAAAACCGAACTTGGCTCGAGCCAGTTTGAGCCAAATGCTTATACACTGCCATTTTTGTTGGCTCGAGCCATAGGGCTCCAATGAAATGCTGTTGTGTAAAAGCAAATTCAAAGTTATTCAAATTCTCGTCTTGTTTGCACTACGCAATCATCATTGTTTATAATCCCCCAAATAGATAATGGTAGCATCTTTGTTGATTAAAGACTTACACAAGTCCCTCTACAACTACAACAATGCCAGTGACCGAGGATGTGTGCCTTAAAGGGGAACCGCTCAATCCCTTGGATTGCACCAAGTGCTCATGGGTAATTAACTCCGCCTCTGTCCACTGAGTAAATGAATGCTTATATTTCCCCCTGTACCGCTAATCCCACAAAACAACTGATATAAACATCCTAAGAACGGATTACAATGTGCTTGTTTAAATATAACATAGCAATTGAATTTCAAACAAATACAGAGCAGTCTTCATGTGCCATGATTTGAAACATCGCGCGCTCGGTAATATATACATCGTCGGAAAAATACGACGCGGAACTAATTCAAGTTGATGATGGCCAACAAGAGAAGTCAGCAGTCCACCGGATACACACGACCAGATTGTTGCTAAACGGTCGCGAAGAAAATTCCCCGACTCAAGTTTATTTGTCTGTTTCCGTTGCGTGGGTCTATTGTCGGTACTGATCTTGTATACAGTAAACCTCAGAACGAAACTTCCTATGCACATTCTGTATACATACTACTCCTCCAGACTGCTAATATAACAAGTGTGAAAACTGTATACTATAAGTACAGGTTATCAAAATCATTAGTAAAGAAAAGTCGCCGCGACATCACAGGCTTATCATGTAACCAGTTTACGACACTCGTGTGGAAAATCAAAATGTACAGGGGTGGTTGAGTTCTTGTGATCTGGTGGGTGAACCTTGGGTTGACTTTACAGTCAAAATCAAATGAGCGGTGATGGGGAGAAGAGCGTTCTGTCAAAACAATTTTACCGTAGACTCAATTTTAACGACCATTCTGAAGCATTGTATTTATTATAAATAAGAATCCAAAAATAGAATATAAATACACACATACACTTGATTGAATTTTCTGGACATATATGCGACGCATGAATGAAAACGATCTATTGTGAAATATATGAATTGGAACTGCCTGTGACGTGTTGCCTGGGTGCCGTTTCGTCCTACAGTCAAATACAGAAACAAAAACTGATTTATTTTCTTATGATAAGACCTGGTTGTTCATGCTTTTCAAGCATGGTGTATTTACTTCTTGTACTGTGTGGTGTGTGCTATGGAAACATCTGATTCTGTGGTTTTGAGCTGTCGAAGTATTTTGCGAAATATAAAACAAAGGGTAACATCATACGAAGCAGTCAGGCCAATGTCTTGTTGATATCCGAAACTTGGAACCTCTAACAGAACGGTTATTTCCTCCATGCCTACCAGTATTACACAACTACCATTTGCAGCTCATTGCAGTCTGACACTTATTCACTGTACCCCTTCCTTTTTCCAGACTGTCTAGAAAGTTATACAAAAAGTTTCGTCCCTTAGAAAAGTCTTTGCCGTACAATCAAAAGAAAAAAGTCCACATAGTAGTAACCAACATCGTTCTGGCGTTCCAAAAAAAAAGTTTTTAAAAAACGAACACTGCATTGCTTAGTGGCAAATAATCACGGTAGCGCAATCCGACCATGCTACGTTTCAAAATTATTATTATTACTCGATAGTGATTATTAATAAAGTACAAAAAGTAAACTCGTTGAATTATTCTGAAATGCAAGTAAATTTCAATTTAGTTTCATCGTAAACAAATGATTCTGGTCGCATGCAAATGTTCGACATCTTATAGGTCAAATCGCTAATCAGCCAATCAAAATACTCTGTGATGCCAACGTGTTCAAATTACCATAACGGAGGAGATTTGCCGATGTTCCAGCACGATCTTTTACCTCTGTTTTGATGGGAAGACGGCACGTTTTTTTTAAATCAATATATTAGTTGTTTTTGATGATAAACTGACCATTTGAAGACTAATTTAACATTTTTACGGTGATAACAGCTAATTGTCGAAGCAAAGCTTTACCCATTCACGCTGACCACAATAAACATAGTAGTCTTGAATAGGCGCCAATGACCACGGTAAAATTCGTAAGATTGTGGGTCAGGAGTGAGTGTTGTTTTGACTTGGGTATTGTGTTTACATTCCAACGGGAAATTTTTGCGTTGTTTTATTTTCGCGCTTTCGCGAATTTCTTCTTTTTCTTCATTTAATTTATTGCAATGGATATTCGAAAGCCCACAACCTAATGTTATTGACATTGTTTACTGTCTTGTATCATCATGTCCCAGTGTTACCGATGGTTAGACATAGACAAACTACGTAACGATAATGCTGTTTGTAAACCAACAAGCTTTGTAGATTGAATAAACATCTAGGGGATTTACATTTTCGTTTACTCAAACTGTGATTGACAGGGATTTTGCATACATCAGCCACCATTTTAAACTCGTGATTTTCACTGGTCGCGGCACGTTTCGACCGAAAATAACATTTATACATCAAAAGTCCAACCAGACGAGTGTAATCGCTGGCGTACATATTCATGCCGCCGTGGATATGTATTTGGAACCACAGCTTGATCTCCAAACATTGTAAATGGCACTTTTCCCCCCGAGCTCCAGCCACGATGTTAGCGGCTTGGTTCGGATTAGCATACATTGACCCTTATTTATAGTATCGGTTCCCCTTTAAACAAGCAGCCTGTCGGCTGAGATAACTCTGCTGTTAGCAATGAACATTGCAATTAAAGAACAGAAGATATTATTTGAAAATGAACATATGTATAGTAACAAAGCAATCGGACTTGCAGGTTTTTAACAAGAAGTCCAAAATATCACTTTTTACCAAAAATGACAAAAATATTCATCAAAATTGGGGAATTGAAGATATCATCATGAAATGAACAAATCTAAGAGAGGTCTACCCAAGGTACATATACACCAAGTATCAAAGCATTCAGGCTTGTAGTTTTCAAGAAGAAGTCGAAAAAGTAAAACATTGACACTGTCACCGGACAATCACTCATATGATAAGCTCCGCTCGACAAAGTCGACAGCGAAGCTAAAATACAAAAACACTCCAAACTGGTCAAATACACAATTGACTGACTCAGATGGACCATAGTTACATTTTATATTCAATACAACTCAATTTTTTTTAAATCTTTTTTCATCCTTTAATGAGTAGTACATACCTGAAGCACCCAATCCATACGCTTTAGCCGGTTTCAGTTCTCTTTCAGCACGATTGTACTTGGATGCAGACACCATTTTCATTGACTTGGTGATCTTTTGAATATTTTTAACTGACCTGAGACGAAGACGAACTGAAAAACAATACTGAATATTGAAACCTCATTTTCCTTCAACAGTAGTATTTACGTAAACAAAAAAAAATATTATTCTATCAACACATCAATTCCAACCTGTGGTTACTTACTTTCTTTCAGAGTGGCCATATTTCTTGTGCTGATGCTAAAAATTGTGTACAAAATAAATTGTTAATAATAATATAAATACAATATAGAAGACATCATGGTCCAGTAATGTAAAGAAACTACAGTACAATGTGCACACAAGGACCCATGTGTTCTCGCCATTGGCGAAGCAATGGTGAGGCCATGTCTCGCCAATGTCGTGCCAGTGGCGAGGTTATTAAAAGGACTCTCCCTCAAAAAAGCGAGCCCAAGGTCGAGCTATGCGCAGTCAGTTAAATATGGCGCACTTTATTTAACTTGGCGCGATCACAGGCGCGACCGGTATTTCTTGGAACACCAAAACATAAAATATCACTTCAGCGTGGTTACACAAGTGTTGTTTGAAAAGTTCAAAAATGTTTGTTTTGTTGATTTCATCATTAAGATTTGTCAGATTGAATTATATCCGCGAGTGGAACTTAATCTTTACAGAACCGATCGTTTTGTGAGATTTGCGTGGGTGTGTGTATGTGTATCTGATTGTCGATTTCATATCATTGGTAGTTGTAAAAACAAAACAAAAACGCTCTGTGCCGAAACTTCAGTGACAACCCGATTTCCAAATATATGTTATGTTGTTTTGATGATATACGAGTAATTTTGCCATGCATGTAAATCAGTCAGTCCCTGGTCCACCATTATATTACTGATGTCTTGATTCACCCCTGCACCGATCTGTAAAACGAGTCATTTTGTGACAAAATAATCGTCACAAACTGTCTGTGTTCACTTAAATTCCAATGTATAAACCGTCATCACGACGTTCATAGAGGTAAAATGCTACGACAAAGTAAAATTGTTTTACGTGGAGCAATTGCGCAAGGTCAATGACAATGTCGTAACTGAAACCTCCATGCTAAAACAATTTATTTATTTATTTAACACTTTATTTAAAGAGGGTAGGCCAATATACAATAAAGTAATTTTCATTGGGCCCTCTGTAGGGACAATAAACACAATATACATATTATAGGCTTGAGCCATTTAGAACAAATTTTTCACTAAGATAAATTTTGTAGGTTTTCTTAAAAATGCCTAAAGAGGCTGAATTTCTGATATGGAATGGCAAGTTATTCCATAGGGTTACCCCTCTATACTGAATCGTCCTCTGACCCATGGATGTTTTCCATTTAGTAATGCGTAAATTATTTTTAAGAGAGGAACGTGTACTATACTTGTGGGTTTGGGAGATAGGACTGAACATTTCACTTATATATAAAGGCGCCAAGCCATTGGTTGCCATATACATTACGATACCTAGAAAATATGAAATTCTGTAATCGATAGGCAAGATACTATGTTTTTGAACAGTTCAAACGACGATTGGCTAAAGTTGTCAGAGGAAATCACACGAACTGCCCTTTTCTGAAGCTTATACACCCGACATCAATTTGATTGACTTGTATTTCCCCATACTATACAGCAATAGTCCAATAACGACTGAATAAATGAAAAATACAATGTTCTTCTGACGGAAATAGGTAAGAAGCTGCGAACTCTCATAAGAACACCAATTCTTTGGGTATGCTTTTTACAAAGCATATCAACATGATGATCCCATGATAGAGTTTTATCTAAAACCACCCCGAGCGACTTTTCGAAACTGACTGTTATTTCACCATTGAAGTTAACCAGAAAATCTTCGCGAATATTATTTAGCCTTTGACGGGATCCAAGAAGCATAGATTTTGATTTAGATGTGTTGATTGACATGTAATTGCAATTAACCCAACGCAAAATTGGCCAAACATCATCATTAATGCACTTTGTGACTACATTGATACTTGGTCCAGATGATAACAGAGTTTGATCGTTCGCATACATATCAATGGAACTGTTTTCAAGGAATAATGGTAGGTCATTAATAAATAGAAGAAATAATAATGGTCCTAAAATCGAACCCTGTGGTACGCCATGTCGAATATTAACAGCATCCGACTGTTTACCCATCAAATACACAACTTGCTTTCTGTCAGTTAAATAAGAATTAAACCAAACAAGGGAGATTGGAGAAATGCCATAAATTGAGAGCTTACTTAATAATACATGTTTATCTACCATATCAAACGCCTTGCTTAAATCAAGGAAAAGCAAACCACACAATAAGCCATCATCCATATTGCTAAGTAATGCATCGCATAGCTTAATCATACATTGTAGCTGTATGGCAAGAATGTGATTTCCGAAAACCTGACTGCGATTTAGAAATTACTAGTAAATCATTACTGTTCAAATAATGGTATAAGTGATCATGCACGTGTTTTTCAAAGATTTTTGAGATTATCGGGAGAAGCGAAATTGGACGAAAATTACACAAGTCCTGGGACCCTCCCTTGTGTATTGGAATAACTTTGGCATGCTTAAACATGTCTGGAAAAATACCTGATGAAATGCTGAGGTTGAATAAATAAACAATACTTTCACAAATGAATGGAGCAGAAATACGCAAAAGTTTAGATGATGTATTGTCAAGGCCAGCTGACTTAGAACTAGATAGTGAAAACAGTTGGTTCTTCACAAACTGGCATGTGACCGGCAGAATAACAAATTGTCGAGTATAAATAAACTTCCGTAAATTCGTAAAATATGAATCACCCACTGAAACATTGGGTCGTAACTTGTCGGCAACAGAAGCAAAATGTGTATTGAAATTATTAACAATTTTTTCGAAGTTATTGCCAACTGAAATATGAACGTTGAGAGAGTTAGATTTACCACCATTGATCAAATCGTTAAGGGTTTTCCACAAGGCGGCACTGTTGGAGCTATTGATTTTGATAAGTTGAATATAATGGTTTTTCTTAGCGGCCTTGATTAAATTAACTACCAGATTACGTTTGGCTCTATATTGGTTTAGGACAGTAACATCACATAAAGTACGTGCACGCCTCCGAAGTTTGTCTCTTTCTCTAATTTTAAGTAGAATGTCAGCAACAGAAATTATACAAGTATGTTTTCGAATTAGATAATATAATAACCGCTTTAAACTAAGACATAACATAACTGTCAAGTTCTCCCTGTCCTGTGTTCACGCGAACATCGGTAAGATTTTTTTTATTTAAAATGCCAATGCGGTAAGTGTCGCCGAGACCTAGACGCAACAAAAGAAAAATGAAAAGCGTCTAGCTGGTTGCCATGACGTCGACTTTTGAGGGCACCGCTAGCCAATAGTATGTATGGATTTACCATGGAGGTAAAGAGATTTACGTAACTCTGTTGTTACTTTGTACATGTACTAAACATTTGTTTTGTTGCATAGTGCGATGCATTTTACTCATGCGATTCCTGTTAATTATCGTGATGCCGACCGGTCACCGATATTTTGCCGTGTAACTATTATTGGAGACTGATCAAGACGTTTTCCCATGATTTTTTATGTTATTATTATTGGCTTGTTTAGTCTAGTCTAGCGACAGTTACGTAACATCATGCAAGCCTTCAATTTCTACTTGTACAAATATTGACTAACAATATTGGGTTACTAAGTTTTCATCTTAAGTGTTCAGACTAGGTGCATATCGTCCCAGTTTTCTATCTACATTTGCACTCCACGACCAGTACAATTTCCAAGAATACATGTACATATAATAATTAAGCCAAGCAAAAATATAGGAAAGATGTTTACGAAAGATACCTGAAATCAAGAATGCACCGCATATAATACTACATTGCATACATTTTACATTAATTGTATCCTAATATACTGCTTACCATTTACGGTAATATAAATTTTATATAATTCCATTGCTTCAGTCAAAATGTACTAAAAAGTAAAACGTGTACATTGTGATAGTATTTTAATTTGCGTTGATGTGGACTGCATTCTTTATGTCATGTAGGTGTTATTTAGTATGTTTGGACAGAACCACAAATCTCAACGCTGCAATGTTCGCGAGTTATTCTGATCGTATCCTGGCCTATTTTTATGAAGTGGCTAATTTTAAATGACACAATATAATGTATACATAAATGATATTGGTGACGGTACCTGATATGTATCGCAAAATCCTGTGACACTGAATGCTGTTCCACATTTGTGATGGCCGATCAATACAAAACTGACTATTTTGTGTGTATACTTGAGTGTCTGGAAAATTGGTATGATGACAACCGTCTTCATGGAATTAAGCCTCCGCAAATTAAAACAAAGACAACAAGCAACCTATCGGCTGAGATAGCTCCGCTGTGAGCAATACACATTTCATTTAAAGAACTGAAGACATTAGAAAATGAACAATATGTATAGTATCAAAGCAATCGGACTTACAGTTTTTAACAAGAAGTCGAAAATATCACTTTTTACCAAAAATGACAAAAATATTCACCAAAATTAGAGAATTGAAGATATCATCACAAAATGAACAAATCTGAAAAAGGTCTACATGTAGTATCTATATATGTAATATCAAAGCAATTGCACTTGCGGTTTTTAACAAGAAGTCGAAAATATCACTTTTTACCAAAAATATTCACCAAAATTAGAGAATTGAAGATATCAACATGAAATGAACAAACCTAGGAGAGGTCTACCCAAGGTACATATACACCAAGTGTCAAAGCATTCAGGCTTGTAGTTTTCAAGAAGAAGTCGAAAAAGTAAAACATTGACACGGACGACGACGGACGACGCCGACGGACAATCACTCATATGATAAGCTCCGCTCGACAAAGTCGACAGCGTAGCTAAAAATGGAAGGAAGGTGATGATGTATAGGATAGGACTATCAGAAAATAAGCCGAGCTGTCATTGGTTTTTTCTCACGGCGGGAATCATCGATAAAATGAGCGGTAGTCTAATTTAACAATAACAATGTGTTCTGCATCTTATTTTGTAATTAATTTATGGCCAATCTCATACACTGATGTAAGTGAAACAAACTACTGACAAGTGAGACAATTTTATGCACGTTGTATGTCAATGTTATAAAAATGTCATGACTTTTTACGTACATGGGCTTGATGATGTTACTGGGCGCGTCTATCGGTGTCCCACCAGGGTGCATCTCACATTTACACATCATATTTTGAACCTTAGTGACTCTGATGTCCACTGAATATGTACTTTTGCACATACATTTGTACATGCATGTTGGTTATCAGTGTTGTGTATTACACAGGGACATGTTTAATGTATGTCAGCGCGCATCTTGTTTTTATTCTTTTCAAACCCATTTGCGTGTTTTCATATGCGGTGTGCAGAGTTACTAACCATTGGTGTAACATGCAATACATTGTTTGAAATCGTTGGTCTTTTTTGTTTATCTTATCCGCTCCTGTTTGTTTCACAAATTAGTCGTTTGCATATCAATATGTCAGATGCGAGGTCACGCTATCACTTTTGAAACAGATCATTTTGGGGTTTTCATCTGCCGATTTTACTAAACTAGAGCTCGTCTATTTTAAAATTTGTTTGCAATTTCTTCTTATTTTTTGATTACCCTACATTGTTACAACAGAATTGTGTGTGAAAGCTACCCACTGGCGTCGATTAACAGGCTCCAAAAACTATTTCTGTGATGATTTTTTTTCAAATTATTAGCGACTTTTAACAAAAACAGTGTATGTTTAGTGTCATCGGATTAACGCTAAACCACAGTCCCTCTCTTGTTGACGGACTGTGACTAACCACAGCTCTAACATAAATACCTCCATGGTTCAGGCAAATTATTATTATTTTCCAACATGTGACCTTCAGTTGGGATTCAGTACGTTACTTTTTAAAACGCGGCGCATGGATACAACTGCCAAGACGCATCCCACTGAACTAATAGGAAGCGTAAATCTTTTTTAGTTACTGTGTGTGAATAAACAGCATGTTAGCACAGTAATAATTGTGTAATTTATTTATTTTTTCAGAAAAATAAATATTTTATATGTGAGCATGCCAAGCTCTAACCTTGACGACTCTAAAATATATATACTAGTTTGTTACTGGGGCTTTCTGTATCCATTTAGATTGAAAGCTGAAAACAAGTATGCCAATTGTAGTAATATTACCATATAAATGCAAGAGCAACAAACATGCCATTATTTTCCATCTCCCGTGCGAACGACATAAACAATTGCGACCTTCTGATGTTCAAGGCAGAACTTACAATTAGTGCTAAGCGGATGTCAAATAAAAAATACCTTTTCGAGACACCATTTAATAATTCGACAGGGATTTTTAATTTGAAAACTTCTTGCATAATTTCTGTGACATTAGGTGCCGACCATGTGGTTACATTGATCTCTGACTGAACTGTGAAGAAAACGTACATCATGCCTACGTGATGCCACCACGTAATTTAAATGAACAATTTTACTTTGTCGTGGCATTTTACCTCTTTAAACGTCGCAAATGCCTTGAGTATAATTATAGTGAGTTATAGTTGGAATTTAGGCGAGTAAAAAGGTTTGTGACGATCATTATCTTGTGTAATGAGACCAGTTTTACAAGATCGGGGTAGGGTGATTCGGTGTAACCTTTGTTATCTTACGGTGAACATTGGTCGGTTCACGCATCAAATTCAGACTAGCATATCGTCGATTACATATTAGGAAATAGGGATGCGATTGAGTTGTACACAAGACAAGACAAGTAGAACAAGACAGGGTAACAGTAACCGTTTCCAACTCACAAATCAACAAATATACAAATATTTCAATCATTCAATGTTTAATTTACCACTGGCCACGCTATTTGCAACACATTATGCAATTTATCCATTATTTAATCTACATTCATAAACAATGTAAGAGAACTGAAACTATGTTTTCTGTTGTAGTGAAAAAAACATCGGTCGCGCCCGTGATCACGCAGAGTATAATAATGTGCGCCGTATGTGACTAATCATGCCGAGCTCGACCTTGGGAAATTGGGACCTAGTGTGCATTGTACTGTATACAGGTAAAGGTAAATGTGTAGTTTTTAAGATCCTGAATGTACATGTAAATTAACAAGTCTTTGCTTTGATTTAGCTATTTTATATTGCATACTTCATGTATCGTTGGTTACAATTTATTGCATTTGAGTTCATTTTCAAAAACCCATTCCTGTTATTTCCTTATTCAGGTTGAGTGACAAAGACTATGGATTTAATTTGCAATGCATACTGATTTGCTGTCCTTCCAACTAATGTATCCTGTGCCATCTACACCATCACAATAGATGCATAAATATAATATTCTTTGTCAATGTGACTGAGCTGATCCTAGTGTGTATTTTTAAATGAGGCTTCTGCACATGTAACAGAGTTCATATTTTTTCACCAATTACTGTGGAATATTTTATTTTCGGTGGAATTAATTTTCGCTGAAATAGCTTTTTGGGCGTTTTGTGTGGAACTTATTTTCACTGATTTTTGATGAGTTTAATGTGAAATATGGGAAAAAAAGTATATTCGCTGGATTTTATTTTCACGGAATCATCCCTTCAGCGAAAATAAATTCCAAGCGAAAATAAAGTATTCTACAGTATACCGTGTTCTAGGACATTTATGTGCACAAAAGAACCACTAAATCTTGCAATATGCACAAGTTGATGAAAACCAGTACATGTGGGGCAAATATGAGGCTAATCTTGGGGTAGCAATGTTCAAAGAAGCTTGGGGGGTCCATTCTCAGGAAATTTGTGTCACTTTGGGTGCCCACATCCAAATTTTAATCTACAATCCCACAGACTTTAGTTATTGTGAATAATATATATAATTCTTTTGAAAACAATGACCACAGATATGCCATATCAACACAACCTTAACAGCATCAAGCATTCTAGCCAAGTTGACTAAACCACTGACAAATGCTGACCGGCATCAGTCACTATTAAAGCCGGTGTCACAGAAGAACTCTGAATATATAGATCACTGGGAATACGCCTAAGACCAATAAACACCCGAATATTTTTTGTTGTGCAGTCGATTCATGCGAGCCCAAAAAATATAATAATTTTACTTGTAGCAGACCACAAGACAAAACTGTACGTGCACGTTCACAGCCGTGGTCCGCCATTTTGAAATTAGTCGAGAGAAGTTAATCGGAATATGTCGAAACTATAGAAATTGTGAAGTATAGTTTTCATTTCACATTGAACCATAATTATAGAAGTAAACGATAACACTCGTGGGTATTTTTAACGTAATAAACTTACCCTTGCGGCACAAAAACAGCACTCTTTATAACTAAGGCAGCCATCTTGCCGGAGAACAGATAGGACAAGGCAGAGCATGCGCAGTGAGCTCACTTGGCCTCGCTTTCATAAAATGTAAGCTGCAGCATAGACCTTCTCATTCTCTACCATCGGCCCCACGGACCTCTGTAACCACAACTTGTGCGCACAGTCACTGCGCATCTTCCTCCGCGCACTGAACCCTGAACTACATTTACATAAACACAGAAATGCAAACAAGCGGAGGCACGATCGTCATTCACTGTTTTAGTTTTTCGACTGCTGGATTATCATTTTATATCAAGCTCGGAAGCCGTAAAGCTATTATTTATTCACCCACGGTTACTAAAAACCGTGATTCACCGACCACCACTAGTAATTTGTTTTCCTTGTATAAAATTTTTATTATATAAGTGGGCATTCCATAACCACAGAACAGTGAGCAGAAAAACAACGGTGACGATTAATATTTTACTACACTAGCAACCGATGATAAACCTCAGACAACAAATAAATGTATTAGTTATCTAAGGATAAACACACACAATTTACGGCTTGTTCCCTGAATAGTCTCTGTGGTGAATAAACAATTTTTAGAACAATTCCATAGAGCGCAATGTTAAGCAAAAATTGCATTTTTCAACATTTTTAAAACCAAGGTTTTTAAAAAAATTCAGGAAAACAAAAAGTACCCCTCATTAACAATATATATTTTTTTCAGCCTATGTCACCAGCCTACAATTTGACATATGGCATAATATCTCTGCCATAGGAATCTATGGTAAAAGCACTATAATACTGCCAAAATAGCCACTATCCACTAAAATACAACCATGATTTTCTTGAAAATTAACCTGGTGACCCCCAACTTTTTTTAAGTCAATATATTGCCTAGAAGTACAATTTATTAAAAAATAGATAAATTCTGCGTATATGAGTAGACTTCTACCTTGAGCGTTGGGAGGGTCAAGGTTTACCCTTGAACAAGTGCCTACATTTGGACAACAGTAGTATTTCAAATCATTTGTTTGTTAGACTTTCATAATTTTATTTTTATAGTGTATACATGTAATAGAATCCCATTATAAAATTATATGTATACATGTATATCACAAGAATGTTTGCTATACATATATAATATGTATATATACGTCCATTATCCATTCAATAATAAATTAATAATACCACACATTTGCATCAATCAATGTGCCTTTACTTTATAATCAGATTAGCATTAACTTATGAACATGTTAGTATTCCAATTAATACAACAATTT